TAGACTTTCTGGTAGTTGGATCACCAGCCCAATCAGCATCAGAATATGCACAAAGCTCTAACTTAGATGTAGCAGGAAACAAAAGTGAGCGAGTGCTAGTACCCCGGAGGTACCGAAGAATCCGTAATAAGACAGCATAGTGTACAGAACGTGGGGCACTAACAAATTGACTGACAATACCAACAGCATGAGAGATATCTGGTCGAGAGATGCACAAATAGACCAACTGACCAACAAGATGTCGATATCGGGTAGGATCAGATAGAGGCTCACCGTCAGTAGAGCAAAGTTTGACATTCTGCTGGAGTGGAGTATCGACAGTTGTATTATCAGTTAACTCAGCTTGATTTAGAATATCTGAGAGATACTTCTGTTGAGACAGTAATACACCCCGCGGGCCTTGAGAAATTTCTAGACCAAGGAAATACCGAAGAGATCCAAGATCCTTCATGTGGAACTGTTGTTGCAACTGAGATTTTGCGTATTGTATACCTGTCATATCATCACCTGTAATGATCATATCATCTACATAGATGAGTAATAAAACCCTGCCACGCGATGTAGTGCGAACAAACAGAGAAGCATCTTGATGACTTTCTATAAAGCCCGCTTTGAGCACAACATCGCGAAAACACTCAAACCAAGCGCGGGGTGCCTGTTTGAGACCATAAACAGCACGACGAAGGAGACATACATGTCCCGGAGGAATATTTGACCCTGGAGGCGGTTGCATATATACGGTCTCTGATAAAGAGCCATGAAGAAAAGCATTTTTGACATCCATCTGGTATAAGGGCCAACGATGAGCAGCAGCGACCGCAAGGAGAGTACGCACAGTGGGCATCTGAGCAACAGGAGCAAAGGTCTCCTCATAATCAATACCTTGTTGCTGAGTAAAACCTCTAGCCACTAAACGAGCTTTTCGACGTTCAATGGTGCCATCAGGACGAAACTTGACCTTATAAACCCATTTACTGCCAACAAGAGAGATCCCAGGAGGACAGGGAACAATATCCCAGGTATGAGTTTGCTGAAATGCTTGAAATTCCTCAGCCATAGCTTGTCGCCACTCTGGAATTTGAACTGCCTCTTGGAAGGACTTTGGCTCAACAATAGTATGAATGGCAGCAAGAAAGTTATGAAAGATAGGTGAATAAGAAGTAACAGAAGCATACCGGGCAGGCATGACATGTGGGCGTTTGCCTCGACGAAGAGCAAGAGGAACCTCAGGCGGGGGAGATGCTGGCGCAGGTGCATGAAGATCAACAGTATTTTCTGGAGTGAGAGTTGTGTCCACAGGATATGGATTAGATGGTGTAAGAGAAGACTCAGGTGAGGAAGAGTCAACAGAAGGAGAGGGAGAGATGTCAGGGAGATCTCGAAAGGAAAATTGAGGTGAAGAAGTGGGTGATGCAGTGGACGGGGAAGCATGATCGGTAGAGTGGAGGAAATTAAAGTCATCAGAAGTAGAATAATATGGAGAATCCTCTTCGAACTGAACATGACGAGATATATGAACTCGACGAGTTGCGGGATCATAACAACGATAACCTCGATGTTCTGAACTAATTCCTAAATAAACACAAGAAACTGCTCTGGGAGACAATTTATCACGTTCGTGAGATGGCAGAAAAACAAAACATCGACAACCAAAAACGCGAACTAGATCATAACGGGGAGGATGAGTATAAACACGACTATAAGGAGTAGCACCGGAAAGAGAGCTAGATGGAGTGATATTAATGGCATGAGTCGCGGTGAGAATAGCCTCAGCCCAGAAACGACGAGGAACAGAGTAAGAAATGAGCATTGATCGGGCAGTATCGAGGATATGACGATGTTTGCGTTCAGCAACACCATTTTGCTCATGAGTGTAGGGACATGACTGTTGAAAGATAGTCCCATGAGAGGACATGATAGAGCGCATGGCAGAGGATAGGTACTCTTTGGCACAATCAGAACGAAAAACTTTAATACGAGATTGCCATTGAGTGAAAATCATAGCAGTGAAGGCTTGATAAGCAGTAAGTACGTCAGAGCGATTCTTAAGTAGGTAAACCCATGTAAAACGAGAGAAATCGTCGATAAAACTAACATAATATAAGTAGCCAGATGAAGAAGGCAAAGGAGCTGGCCCCCAAATATCAGAATGTACTAAATCAAATAAGGAAGTGGATACAGATGTACTCATTTTAAATGGTAAAGCAGTGAATTTAGCCAATTTGCAACCAGCACATGACTCAATACTAGAACTAGATGATACAGGACCAAGTACTCCAGACTGAATAAGACTCTCCAGCCTTTTATTACACACATGACCAAGTCGTCTATGCCATAAATTGGCAGGAAGCGAGGTAGAGGGTTTTGACGAACAAAGAGAAGCAACAAGAGAACGTGGACGTATGGACTCTGGAAGGTGAAGATATTCCAGAAAATACAGTTTGTGCCTCCTACGACCCGCCCCAACCGTCTTGCCCGTCTGTGGATCCTGCACAATACAAGTATCAGAAGAAAATGAGACAAACAGGCCCGCCATGCATAAAGAGCTAATAGAAATTAAATTCAAGCACAATTGTGGAGCCACATAGACGGGACCAAGTGTTAGACGACCAGATGGATCATTTTGTGGGGTAATAGAGCCATACTGAGTAATGGACAATGGTTGTCCAGCAGCTGTGTAGATAGGAGGAAGAGAGGATGAAGTAAAGACAGAGGATAAAAGTGAGGCATTACAAGTCATATGAAAGGAACAACCAGAGTCAAAAATCCAGAGATCATTCATACCAGAGACTGAAGGATTAGCTGAAGAACCAGCAAAATGCATACCAGAGAGTTGTGCGGCGGATGTAGAGGTGATATGTTGAAAAGCATCAAGTTGACGGCGAAGACTTTCAATAGCTTGAATAGTAGAGTCTGAAGTAGTAGAAGGTATAGCATTGGCCAACAATCCTGGTGTACGAGAGGGTTGAGACTGAGGGGGTCGCCGACCACGTCCAGTACCTGAGGAACGTAACTCAGGATGAAGCTTGAAGCATGTCTCAATGCGGTGTCCTTCCTTCTTACAATATTTGCAAGAGAGCTTAGATCGAGCCTGTGGAGAGGGAGCCTGTGGAGAAGTATAATTCATAACAGGAGCAGTGACAGGTACAGACAAAACAGTCTCGAGTGAAGAGGTAGGAGTGTCTGTTGACAAATTGAGTCGTGCTGTCTGCTGCCGGGTCTCATAAGCAGTGAGAGCTCCCATAACTGAGGCCAAAGTCGGAAATTGAGGCTGGTGAAGTAGTTGATCAGCCATAGTTGAATATTCAGGAAGGGACTGAAACAATTGATGCACCTCATGCCGTTCGTACCAGGCTAGCCAGTCTTCATATGTGGAATTACGTCCAGGAAGCATGGAGCGTAACTCTGTCCAAAAAGCTTGCATTTGTCCAAAATGGGACTGCAGAGATGAACTACCTTTGCGTTGTAGAGAAATGCGTTGCAGAAGATATGCCTCCCGTGCACCCGAGCACTCAGTGAAACGCTCAGTGAGACGAGTCCACATGGCCTGAGCAGAGGGAAGCGAGCCAATCTCGACAGTGAGACCAGAGCCAACACAGCGAGTGAGATAATCCATAACACGAAATTCCTGCAATTGCCACTCTGAACTCTCCTTGACATAGAGAGCACGAGCAGTCTGAAGATCGACATCACCACTGCCAGAGGCAATAGTACTGGATGAAGCAACAGTGCTGATGGACGGTGGAACTGGTCCCGTACTGGTGAGATGATCAAGCAAACCAGCGCCACGCAAGGCATTGGTGACAATGGTGGACCACCCTGCCCAGTCACTTTGATCATTGAGGGGCAAAGGTGGTTTGGGAATCTTCTCTGAAGGAGCCATAACAGCAATCTTGAGACGTTAAGATGTCGAGATGCTGTTACTAATGTCGTTCGTTTGAGGCCGAGAGACGGCTTGAAACGACGATGCCGTTAATTTGAGACCGAGAGACGGTCTTGAAACGACAATGCCGTTAAAATAGAACCCGAAGGTTAGAATGAAACCCGAAGGTTTAAAATAGAACCCGAAGGTTAGAATGAAACCCGAAGGTTTAAAATAGAACCCGAAGGTTAAACGAGAACGCGAAACGCGTTAAGAGGCCGCAAAACGACAAGGCCAAAATATCTGGCAGATGAACGCCAAATAATTAAAAATAAAAAAAAAATAAAACATTAAACGGCTGCAAAGCAATAAGGCCAAGATTTGGCAAAAGAACGCAAAAGCGTTAAAAATTTTATTGAAAGGGAAATAGCCCTAGCTCTGATACCATGTTAAAGTAAGAGAGAGAGAGAGAATCTTGGGTAAATTTCCCTTGAATTGAATATTGAGTGTGCACATATATTTATACAAGTAGAGGAGTGTGAGGTTTGTTCTCCCAAGCAATGTGGGACTAAAACCCACTACAATACACTATTATCAACATAAAGAGAGTACGCTCCTCATCAGTTACGAGTATAAATTTGTCTTCAAGTGCTGACACGTTGAGTTTGCACCCTTTATCCTCGTATTAATGACGACAATTTCGACGAGGAAGAACTTGTTGTATTTTCCCCCTTCTTCCGCAACTGACAGAATCCTAATCTTTTCCACATGCTATACAAATAGAATACAGAGATTAGTTGAAGATTCCAAGTGCAAGATGCTAAAAGATTTGCTATCCCAGTGCTAACACAGCAAAAGACAAAACAGAATATATCCTCACAAGTCTGAGCCAGATGCCATAATTCATCCTCAAATATACAATACTTTGCGCTCATTTCCTGAGCCGTAAAAAGCTACAAGCACAGCAGAAGCAAATGGACCTTCTCCTCGCAATCCAGAGCATCCCTGCAGGAGCTCTAACCTCCATAGCTCTCGGCCTCGTCGCCGTCCCTGCCGTCGGAAAAGTCCTCATCGATCAAAATCGGCGGAGATCCTCCAATGGACTTCCGGGTACATGTTTCAACTTCTGCTACAAAACTTCATCCCTGTACCCTGATTTGGTTCAATGTACGATACCTTTTACGGAATAAGGAAAGCTTTAGCTGACTCTATGGGATTCATATTCTCTTGTCATTTTATGTACGGTGAGTTTGTCTTCATTCGTCCGCTTGACGAGTCTTTACTGTGTATACTCGTTACCCTCCTCAGAGCGGTCAAGAAAAGGTCCGTAGAAATCATGGACGCTCCTCTTGATTTCTCAACACCAGCTTTAGCCACCACCACCACCATCCTCTGCCTCGTCCTAGCCTTTGTAATTGGGAGAAAGTTTCTCTTCAGCTCCAAACTTATGCCTGGTAGGGGATTTTGTTAGCATTTTTATGCATAATTTTCGTGGGTATTGACCCGTGAAGAGATCAATTCTGAAATCTCGATGGTTCTGTCAGATGGGTTTTTCTTTTTCTATTGATTGTGTGTGTGAGTTGATGGGGTTTGATAAACGGTTTTTTTTTTTTTTCCTCTCTAATTTTTTTTTGGGATGTGTTGTGATATAGCTGTACCTGGGATGCCCTTGATTGGGAATTTGCATCAGCTCAAGGCTAAGATGCCTCATCAGACTTTTGCTAAATGGGCAGAGATTTATGGACCAATATACTCTATAAGATTGGGATCATCCACTATGGTTGTCCTCAATTCAGCCGAACTCGCAAAAGAGGTATCTTTCTTTGTTGGTTCGTTTCTTTTGCAAGGATGATCTTATATTATTTATTATCCGAGGCTGATTAGTTAGTGCTTTGAATAAGAATTAGTGAACTAATATGATTGAGTCTATAGTATTGTAGAGATGTAACAGCGATTAATTGTGTGAACTGCATGTTTGGCAAGCGGGTAATAAATAGAAAGTGGAAAAAAAAAGAGAAAGTACTTTCTTATTACTTTCTATTTTGCAAAATCTTTTTTGGATGATGGAAAGTAAAAAAGAGAGAAAGCTAAGGTGATAATTGATGTGATACTTGCTCTCTTTTTATTCTGTTTGATTATTACTGAAAGCAATAGTAAAAAGTGTACAAGTAGAACTTAAAATGATATGCGAAAAATCTAAACATATAGTTTACCTCTCTTCTCTCCTTACTTTCTATCCACTTTCTCCAATTTTTGGAGATAGCTAAAATGCTAATGTTGATGTGGCACCCTTCTCCTTTCAAATACGAAACGAGAAAAAAATTAGAAAGTGGAGTCACTTCTCAGTTTCAGGTCCATTTTCCATTTCTTTCCGGTTGCCAAACACACCGCATCAAAAAGGGTTAATTTTACTAAATCTCTAACTTTGGGGTTTTTACCCCAAAATAACCCCCAATTTTTTTTCTTAAGACCCCCAACACACACACAAAAAACACACACACATAAGCACACACAATGGGGAGGGGGAGGGTGGGAGATGTTCCTTGAGAGAACCAAAATCTCACAAGACATTTTAGTTATTTGTCAATTACAAGTACGGAGGAGCAACGATAAAAGTGTAAGTTCAGGGGGATTCTGTGAAATGGAAAAAAAAATCAGGGATTGTGTGCAAAATCCCCTGAAGTTCAGGGTCTCTGTCTTGCTAATTGTATATGTAGTGTATGAATTCTCAGAAATCTCACGTTATGCTGCTTAGTTTGGAATTCTATCGAAGCAAACATAACTTTGACATAGACAGCAAAACCTTGAGTTTTATCCTTTCCTCAATACATATAATAAGAACAGAAATAGAATCTTAATAACTTTCTTTATCATGCAATAAAAGATGACTTGATAACTTTACCTCTAACTGAGATGGTCATGACATTTTGTAAGGAACATTGCTTAGAACACGTGCTCATCTAATCTTTCCAATATGTTGCATAACATATTTTTTCAACATTTTGAAAGAAAGAATAATCTACAAGACAAGATTGGTCAACTCTTGCTTTTGGTAGGGTCTGCTGAATTTTGATGCACAAGAAGTGTATTTTAGAACAACCACTTGTGGATCAATTGATTTGGAACTACAATCTAGTTATATAACATATTCTCTATGTCTATATGTGGTTTCACATAAAAAAACTGTCAGTTTATCGACTATTTAAAGCAAATAAACCCCATTCTGAAAGTATAAGAGCCACTTATTCAAATTGGACTTGAAAGTTCACTGTCAGCTGCTTCGTCTGTACACTGCTAATACCAACTTGAACCGCTGGATTTAACACTATCATTCTGGGTTCTGTAGGCTATGGTGACTAAGTTTTCATCGATTTCGACTAGGAAGCTTTCAAATGCACTGACAGTGCTCACATGCCAAAAATCTATTGTTGCCATGAGTGATTATGGCGAGTACCATAAAATGGTGAAGCGATATGTACTTTCATATCTCTTGGGAGCAAATGCTCAGGTTAAATCCCGATTCACAATGACATCTTTGAGCTATTTTTCCCTGTCCACACAAATTATTGCACTCTATATCACCATTTACTTTAACCTTTTCAGCTTGTCTTATTTATGTCTATGTTGTGAATTGTCAGAAGCGAAATCGTGGCCACAGGGACACTATGATAGAGAACATTATGAACGCCCTATTTGCAGAAGTTACAAATGATCCTCATAAGGCAGTGAAAGTCAGAGAACCGTTCATAGCCGAGCTTTTCAGATTGGCCTTAAAACAAGTGAGTTTGTGTATCCAAAAAGATTACTTTTCATACTTGGGAATAGGTCAAAGCACTTGACTAAGGAGAAAGCACCCAATTAAGTTAGTCTACTAGGTTTTCTAATATGAAAGTACCTTCTGTGCTGAAAGCTTATATTTTCATTTGACATGCTTTCTTATATTAGACTATAAACCTCCACGTTATTAATATCTTTGTTATACCCCTCATGAATCTGATACCAATGTGAAATTAACTGAGATACTTACTTTGATTTCACATCACTAAAATGAAACATGCAGTATATGTTTATCGTTATTCTAAAACTGACTAGGCACATTGCAAGAAGTTTCTAAGTACATATGCATTTTTATAGGCATTGGGTAAGGATGTAGAGTCCATTTATGTGGAGGAGCTCAGAGTAACAATGTCGAAGCAAGACATTTTTAATGTACTAGTATTAGATCCGATGATGGGAGCTATTGAAGTAGATTGGAGAGATTTCTTCCCATACCTGAGATGGGTCCCTAATAAGAGCATCGAAACTCGAATTCAGAGTATGGAAATGCGCAAGAGAGCAGTAACAAAGGCCCTGATCATGGAGCAGAAGAAAAGGATTTCTCGTGGAGAGGTTCATTTTCTCATCCTTAAATCTCTTTTTGTTCCATTAGTCTTCTCTTCCACTTTTTTTTGTCTAAAAAATTATGCATTTGGCAGGAAATAAACTGTTATTTGGATTTCCTCTTGACTGAGGAGACTACACTGACAGAGGACCAGTTGATTGCATTGGTTTGGGAAGCGATTATTGAAACCTCTGATACAACTCTGGTAACAACTGAATGGGCTATGTATGAACTTGCTAAGAATCCCAAGTGTCAGGTAACTTTCATGTAAAAACACTTCTTCTGCATTACTTATTAAGTTTATTTCTGACCCACATTGCACCATAGGATCGTCTATATCAAGAAATTCAAGAAGTGTGTGGCTCAGAGATAATCACAGAGGATCATCTGCAGAAATTACCTTATTTGAATGCAGTTTTCCATGAAACTCTCAGATATCATTCACCTGTTCCTATTATTCCTCCAAGATATGTTCATGAAGCCACGATGTAAGTTCTGGGTTGTATAATATTTCATTGATTTTAAACTTTTCCTTTCAGATTGGTCATATTAGCAGTCCTTTTATGTTATGAATTCCCTAGGAAAATATATCCATTTTTCATACATTAAGGTGGATGTACTAATTTATGCTTCCAGAAATAATAATAAGTGTAAAATTTTGGAAAATCTTCCTATGGATTAATTCAAAGAGCATCCCCAAAGGTTTTCAAAGTGACAATATAATTCATACCTCTATTTCAATTTTGACGAAGTTAACTTGGATGTAAAAACTGTGATATATGACACGTGTTTCCATACGCTCATATAAACATGTTTACGTTTATCAAATTAAAAAGTGATAGTTACATTAAAAAAAATTGTGATTGTTTGACTAGAAACTAAACTGTGGAGGGTAAAGCATCACATGTAGAACCTTGAGAAAGTTTTATGTGCTTCTATAAACTATGGTGGATTTCCAAATTGTGCTGTCTCATTCTTGATACAATTTACAGATAGCCATCAATCTGTATGCATGCAACATGAACAAGAAGGATTGGGAAGAACCTGAACAGTGGAAGCCCGAAAGATTTCTATCTAGCAACTATGAACCAATGGACATGCACAAAACAATGGCTTTCGGAGGTGGAAAGAGAGTCTGTGCTGGTTCTTTGCAGGCTTATCTAATTTCTTGTACGGCAATCGGTAGATTTGTACAAGAATTCCAGTGGAGGCTTAAAGAGGGAGAGGAAGAGAATGTAGTTACTGTTCAGCTTACCACTCACAAACTCCATCCTATGCAAGCCTATATAAAACCAAGGAAATCATAGGAATCGAGAAAGAAGTACCCTTTGCTGTAGCCTGGCTCCCTTCTTTTTCCATAGAACAGATGAAAATTTTATATGGTCTTAACCTGAAACGCTGTACGAACAAGAATGTTGTCCCAGTGCCTAATGAGCAGACATCAATATCTATATTATCGATTTTGATCTACTACTTTTCTTGTTGTACTGTAAATGTTAGATTAGTTGTCGTTAGATTCATTTGGGTGTACAGGCACTGAAATGCAATTCTTACTTCGTATGAGCATTGTGGGTAAAAGAAAGCATGGAGCATATGAAAATGGGAAATTGTGGAGAAACTGAATTATCTTTGTTAGGAGACATGTAAGAGTCCTGATCATATAGGAAACGGAAAAACTGACACGATACAAAAATGATGGCACACAGGATAAACTATTAAAAGGTACGTAGGGATACGAGAACATGTTATGGAGAGAACAAACAACTATGGACACTCAAACACGTACTGGTTAGTGTTGAGGAGACAAAGTAACTTTATGATACAATCTAATATATTCAAGTCTTAAACCAAAGTAAAATAGATTCCGACCTATATCCAACTTGACACAAGCCTATTGACAACCTATGGTGTCTCTCAGGTGCTTGGAGGTGTTTGATAGAGTTAATATTTTCGCAAACCTATGTCCAAGGGTCCATCTTATATCTATTAAGCTTAAAATTTCTATGTCATCTCCTGTTTGCATCGGGAACGATTTTCATTGTAGCTTCCATTAAAACGTTTTAACAGAAACAAAGAATGACTTTACACTTGTAAATTTCCTCTCTTTACAATGAAACAAAATTGGTGCTCCCTAGAAACACACGCAGAAACTCCTACGTAGTAGCCTCTGCTTGCGTGAGATCTTTGCATGTGCCAAGGATACGTTATTAGTGAACCACCGAGTCAACGCTCCAAGTCGGATGCGAAGAAAGCAAAAAGTTAATGTTTCGACGTGGAAACAAGAACTAAAGTGAATATCTTAACAAAGTAAAATGAACACTCTTCTCGAGAACAAGTCAAAGGTTGAACTCAAGGAAATACCAAAAGGCTTTGAGGATGCCTGGGAGTGGATTACAACTTTCTCGCTCTCAAAGTTCACCAAAAGTCAGATTCTTTCTTCTATCTGCTCTCTTGCCAATGCTTCATACCGTGCACAAGTGTGTAGATAGGTATTTATAGCATTTGGAAGTCGTAACCGTCGAAAAGAAGCTGAAACAACTGGTGATGGTTATCTCCTTTGGGCGTGACAGTGTACACTGTCTCGGCCAAAGGAGGTGGTTCCAGCCAGTTTGTAACCGTCGTCCCACTACTTAAATTGCGTTAAATGCCTTAATTTTCGTGGGTAGTGGGCGTATTTCACGGCTATAACTGTCCATTAATGTTAATGAACGTTTCCCAGCAGTTATGGAGCCACGTGGTCCCCGCAAAAAGTCACAAAACCGCCAGAAAACCCAAGAGGCTGTCTCGCTATGTCTCGAATACACGAGACAGTGGATGTTGTCTCACCAATTGTGAGACAGCTCCAGTCCTTCTGTCGCGTTGTTTTGTGTTCTTCTTTGCTTCCTTTTGCTATTGGATGATCTCCTCTGACCTAGATGATGATGTTCTTCGTCTTCTCTCCGTCTTGAGTTGTGTTTGGGACCTATAGGCAATTTTTGACGCCTACATCTCCGACATATGAATTTGAAAACTTTCTTGAATTGGACATAAGTCCAGCCTGGAACTAGTTTGGTTCTTCTAATACAAACATAATTGTGGAGTGTCTAATAAGTTTCGGGCAAATATCTTGCAAGCATGGGTATTTGCTACATGTAGTTCATGAGCATGACCTTTACTTTGGAATTTCCATATTTTCGAGCTTTTCTCACTTGGTCCATACCTTCAAGAAAATAGGCTTTTTGAAATTGCTGAAAGTAACCTTTATCAGTGAAGTCTAATATGCCTCAACTGCCTAAAAATGGAAGTAAAAAACTGAAATGTATGATATAAGATAGCAGGATACTCAGTACGTATAAACTTGATTAAACTGTATGTTTTACGACCACCAAAATTTTGAATAGAATAATACCAAGCTAGTAGTTCCAACCACACATCAATTATAACGGCCCATCCAACCGCCAGACAATCGATGGATATGATGCAAAATTTAAGCAAGCATTCAATTTTTCCTCATTAGTATAGAAACTTAAATCCATAAGAAATGAATGAAAGTTAAGAAGATCGTCCACTAGTGAATGTTGCGTTATCATCCGATATACCAGGAGAGGATTGATTCGAGCTATCATTACCAGAAGGTGAGAAAGATCCTCTTCCTCTTCTCAAACGCCGATCTTTAATATCTTCTATCATCTTATGAACAACGCTCATCTTTGGACGACATTTAGTATCAGGAGTCAAGCAAAGCAAAGCTATCTGAAGGAGAGCAACCATCTCATCTTCCATCCCTCTACATCTCAACAGCTCTATATCGAAAACTTCAGCTGTCCATTCCTCTCTCACAACCATCTGTACCCACTTGACAAGATCCATTTCACCTTCGCCTTCGACTTTTCCTGTCAAGATTTCTAAGAGGACTACCCCGAAGCTATAAATATCGCATTTTGAAGTGTTTTTTCTTATTGGGTCTTGTGATGATGAGGTGAGTGTTGGTGGAGCTAGAAGCTGATGCAGGGCGAAGTCTGAGATGAGTGCATTGTTGTCTTCGTCGACAAGGATGTTTGAAGAAGTGAGGTGTTGGTGAGAGAGCTTTGATTTGGATGTTTCATGGAGGAAAGTGAGACCTTTTGCTGCACCTAATGCTATCTTGAATCTTGCTGACCAGTCTAATGGAATCCTTCCCGGTCCCCTGTTTCCTGAATATAATAAAAATTGAAGAAAGTTGTCAAGCAACTACAATGGAAATGTTTATGCATACGTAGAAATTATGTTTTGCTTAGTGGTCTGAAAACGTGAAAAGTCTCCCTAACCTGAAATTGATTAAAAAAACAGATTTTTATTGACATGATCTTAGTTAAGTATAAGAAGAGTTTAAGATTGCAGTGCCTATGTGGTCTGATAATTATTTTGCCAATTAAGCTCAATGAAGCAATGTTTATGCTCTCTACAAATTTTTGGAATTGAAAAAGGAAAGCAGGGTAGTGAAGTTTAAAGAGAATGATTGTTTTGCTGAAGTTACGGTTTTCAAGAATGTGACTAGATGTAACTCAACTTACATACTGAACTTGTAGACTAAAATTGTAAATATCGGCCTCCTAAGGTCTATTCTGTATTTGATAGGAAAAAGGAAACACGTAAAAATCTGAAGTCACTGATTGGTAGTAACCATCAAACTGAATTTTCTTTTTTAACTGGTGTGGTGATACATCTGAATGTGATAGCTGATACTACCAAAACACCCAAATTCTGCATGGGAATATGCAAATGTAGATAAAGGATGTACTCGAAATCCTAAGATAAGAGATTCTGCATTTTCCACGGATACTGATAACAGATACCCTCAAACTAAAATTAAGCAAAAATTAAGTACTTAAGTGAAAGAAATCATCAAAAACAATAACTAGCAACTAATTAACAGCTCACCATGAAGAAGATTATAGAGACTCCCTCTATGCACATACTGAAAGACCAATAAAAGTTCATCCTCGGATGAATAATAAGCCAACAAGCTCACAACATTGGGAAGTCTCCACCTCCCAATCTCTTTAAGCAACTCTTCG